AAGGGGTGCTAACTGCTCTGAGAATATGCTTCCTGAGGGAGGTAGAGTTGAAGTCAACCTTCATGGACTGGTCAGAAGATGATGAATAAAGCCTGTATATACTGGTACTTAAGACTGAAGTCTCTAGAGACAGATTCCTTTGGCTGAAATTCCAGCTCTGTTTCTTCCTAGCTGTGGGACCTTGGGCAAATTACTTAACCTCTTGGTCCCTCCGTTTTCCCAGTTGTAAAATGGGGATGATAATATTAGTATCTGTCTCACCTGCCGCATCAAGAGTACTTGAAATGATGGCATAAAGTCCACAGCTAAGTGGAAATAATGATGGTAGAGATGCAGGGAGAACAGGCAGGACCATCTAGCAAGAGGAGGGTGCATCAAAATCCAGAGGGAGTCAGGTGTTCCTGGTTTTCAGAGAGCCAGAGAAGGCATCCTAGGAGTGTGGACTCAGTGCAGTGGGAAATAGGGAAAATAGGGAACTGGTTTTAGAAATTTTAAAAAAATGTATGCTAGACTGCAATGTGGTGGAAGTGGATTTTAAGGGAAAAATGGTGTGTAGGCAACTCATTCTTCCTGGCCATTTGAGTTTCTAGCCCCTGCTTGCCTCAGCAGGTCAACTGGGTAGACAGACGCCTACTCAGCCATGCCAGTGGGTCAAAGAATCACTTATTTTCTGAGCAGGTGTTTTATTTCTAATCAGATGGGGAAATGTCTGACCTATGTTGGTGGATGCTTAAAATGCCATGACAACTTCGACATCTCCTTCCTAAGAGGGTTACCCAAGTCTGGGGTTTGTGTCAGGAGGGCAGGTTAAAATGACTGGCTCATTTGTTCCTGGCAGGTGCCTTTGCCAGAGGAATTTCATAAGAGCAACATGCTTGTTAAATGCCTCGGCTCAAAGCTAATGATTTTATGATAAAGTCAAAGACTTTTCCTTAACATGTCTCTATGGAATCATGTAATTTGGAGTGAGAAGGAAATGCACAGCAATGAGAGGGAGAGGAAACTAGGTGATTCTACAAACTGAGAAGAATTATCCAGAACTTCAAATCCTAGTTTCAAGCAGTTTTTCCCTCCTTTCACAGAAAGGCCTGTTTCCATTCACTTCAGGGGCTAAAGAAGACTTCAGGTCTGTCTGATCCAGTGTTTCTTAAAGTATGCCCCACCAGTTCCTGAGCCATTTAAAGGTTTCACCTTCCATGGTCCACCAAATGTGGAAATGAAGACTTCAAGGACACCAGCAGGTTCATAATGAATGTCAGTCTTAAATGCTACCATTAACATTGTGATGACTGCAAGAACATCAGCCATATTTATGGGGTTTTTCTGCACTTGACATTTTTCAGTTTGGCAAAGAACTCTTGTATGTTAAGGTTCTTGGCAACATTAGTGTTTGGTGGAGTTTTAGGACACTCTGACTTTGTCTAGTTTGCAGATAAGGAAGTTGGGACCGTCACTATCAAGTTCATGGTTGAACTAGGACTCCAGTTCAGATCTCCGGAGCCTTTCCTTCAGAGTTTCAGAATTCAAATTAGGCAGACCTAATATTTTTCTCCTTGGATCAGTGTTTCTATTGTCTCTCCATTTGTTACACCAAGGCCTATAGACATAGAATCTCTGATATATCTAATATATGACCTCTGCTCAGTAGGCATAAAGGAAAAGAAAAGGAACACTTAATTTCTCTTCTTCCTGCACTGAAGTGACCAATAGGAATGGTAACCCCAGTTTTTGAAATTTTCAAAATTCTACATATAATCAACCTTGCAACTTACCCACAGGATCCAATAGCAGGTGCAACTTTAAGAGGTTCACCAATTTAAAGACTCACATGGTGTGTGAAGAGCTTCTGTGTTCTCTTTGGTTGGGAAAGGAGTCAAATTTGGACCAGAGTCCAAATAGGCCAAGATCAGTAACCAATATAGGCAACCACCTAAGGATAGGCTTGAGTAAAGATGCTGTGCAAATCCAATGCCTGGATATCTTGAACTGTGCCATAACCTGTCCAACAATCAGGAACTTTCTTCCTACAGTACATTTCCTAAATAATATATTTTGTGGACATTAAATTTTCCTTAGCAACATTGACTTCCATTGTTGCTTAGCTATGAGTCACTATAGGAGGCATTTGACCTTTTTATCTATATTCATTTACTACTTACAACTGTGGCAAAGTCCTAATTACTTGGCCTTCAGTAAGATGGTTAATTACTCTGCCTCATTTTCCTTATCTGTAAAATGGGGATGAGACTCTATCCTCCCAGAGTGATTGGGAAAATTGGGTATCATTGAATGAGCCTCTATCTTCATGACTGGCATCAACTAGACAATTAATATGCAGTCATTCACTTTTGGAGCAGAATTTTTATTATGGAGGAGATTATAAAATCTCATTTTTCTCTCCACCTCTACCCAAACAAGGCAATTAGTTCATAAATAATAAAAGTATTTTAGATAGTTGTATGGTTTGGTAAGGAGGCAGTGGACCCCATTAGCCTGCTAAATCCAGAATGAAGAATCTCCAGGGCAACTTCTTACCAAGATTAAATGGAATCTGATTTTTGTGCACATGAAGGCTCGGCCAATTTGAGTCTGGTGTTTAATCCACTATGAACATCCTTTATATGAAACCTCTGCCATCACCATTTAAGAAAATTAATATTTATATCAAACATCTTCTATAATGAGATATGAACCTTTGCCCACCAAAATTCTAGCTCAGATTTTAGATTTGCATATTCCCATAGTCAGGTTGCTGAATAATTTATCTATCCAATTGGAGAAATAAAGCAGATGCATGATTTCAAAAGAGACTTGAATCAAAGCAGATCAGTAATTCTTCTCTTTTTAAGGTATTCTGGGTTAGGAGGATAAAAAAAATTATTCTAAAATCAAATATGTTTTATAGATCATTTCAGATATTATTTATGTTTATAAAACTTCTTATTGGATAAA